ACCAGATCTGTATCCTCTGCTTCTCGGGCCATAGCTAGATTGCTTTTCCCACACCCTGAGGTAGGCAGGGAACTGAGTTCTGGTCAATGTAATGTGGGAAGAATAAATAAATGCATGCTGCTTTCAGTGATGGTCCCTGAGGTCTTGTGGGTCACCTTCCACACTCTCCTTTTGCAGAGAATTTGGAACAGTGGTCCCATGAGATGTAAGGAGCCTGGGTTCCTGAATGACCCTGTGGAGCAGAGCCTTGCTCTTCACCCTGGGAGCAAGTCACGATGTTTTCTTTTGGAGATCTCCTGAGAGCCCTGGGGTCATCTGTTACAACCGTTAGTGTTACCTTCCCTAACACAAGGGCTAAGTGCGCTGCTATTGTCACTTTCGTGTCATATGAAAAATATCTCTTTTATGTATCTGTCTCTTCTAGTACAATACTTTAGAAACTTTTTAAGGAGAGACTCTTTTTCAGATCAATCTTTGTGTTTGTTATGCTAAGTACTCAATAAATGTTTGTTGACCTAGAAAATATATCAGTGGGATAAATAACAATACCAATAATGGACATGTATTGAGTATTTATATAAGAAAGGTACGTTATCAGACACTTACATGCATTGCTTTGTAGAATCCTCATAATGCACAAATGTTACTTAAGTGCTTACTATATATTGGTCTCCGTAAGATGCGGTGGGGATACATTAAGTGAACAAAACAGATAAAAATCCCTGTCCTTATAGAGCATAAATTATAAGTGGAGAAGTCAGATAAACAAATAAGAAAAAAATTTAGAATGTCAAAAAGCACATTGAAGCAATACGAAGTATCATAGGATGAGCGGAGTTGATGGGGGTTGGGGCGTGCTGCTATCCCAAACATGTGGGAACAGAACACCTTATGGAAGAGATGGCATCTGAATAGGCACTGAAGACTGGGAAGGAGCAGGCGGTGGCTGTCAGGGGATCAGGATTACAGCCAGGGGGAACAGCAAGTGAAAAAGCCTTGAGGGAGGAACATGCTCACAACAGCTGTGCAAGGTGGATATTCTCTTCATTTTGCACAAAAGAAAAGTGAGCCGAGAAAATTTAAGTAATTTGTCTAAGGACTTAAAGCTGATAAAGTGGCACATTTTGGATTTCAACTGAAATCTCTTGAATTTGAAACTGCATATTCTATTTTGGTACACTCCTTCTGTGTGCAATTTTTGCTAGTTACACTAAAGATACGCACATACACCATTCTAAAAGAACTATTGTGGTAGGTACTGAAGAATGGCAGTTTTAATACTAATCCAACCTCTTTCTCAAGTGACTTTTTGTTCAATAGTGACTAGAAGGGTGAAGCTGGGGTCTCTGCATGTAGCCTCTTTCCCACTAAGCAGACCATCTACAAGACTCCGAGGTGGGCTTGAGTGCAATGAAGTCACGGCGGTGTGACTCTTTGGGAAGCTGAGTGATGCAAGTGGGTATTTTGATTTTTCTGGGCTGCTGCCATTGTTCAGTCTTTAATTTTATAGTGCAGAGTGGCAGTTACAGCAGGTTTTTGACTTGGGGGCTTTCCCAGGAGCAGCAGAGGCCATATGGATATTGAGCCAGCTGTGGTAACGGTGGCTGCTCTCTTGCCAGCCCGGTTTTGCAGTTTGCTTCTGGGAGTCGTTCCTGGAGGCTCAGCCCAGAGCCTAACTCTGCGGACTTTCGTCTAACACCCTACACGAGCCCCTTTCTTCATAAATCAGCCCGAGTGGACTCTGTTGTCTGCCACCAAACCCTGACCGACAGAGTAACTGGGACAACAACAAAAAAGGTGGACATGACTCTCTTTGTCCTGATTCCAACCAGGCGTCCAGTTTAAGTCACACAGATAAGGCCTGCTTGCCTACTTTTAAGTCCCCGTTGGTTATAGTATTGTGTTGTGATCAGCACTTTGGCCTTGTTTCCTATTGTCGTAGCCACGCCTTCCCTGGTCCCTGCTACTCTAAGACTCCATCATAGTCCATGTCAGAAGCAATGTCTTCACCTTTGTCCTTGACCTGTTTCTATCATACTTTTCAAAGGCGCTGGTGCTTTTTATCACTAATATATTTTTCAGTGCTGTGTGGAAAGGAGTATCTTCCTGGGAGAAATAGGATGTATGTGAGTGGGACATATGTGATAAATCCCCTTAAACAATCTCATCTCTATAAATCTTTGACTCCTTCCTTTACACTATACCAAAGAATTGTTATTATCTCAACTCTATTTATCCAAGGCCACTGTTAAGTACAGGTTTTGATCCACCAGGGAGAAACTAATTAGGACCTCTCCCTACTCCTTGTACATTGAATCTAAAATCTCTTCCAAGTGTACCTATATCAATTTATTTAGCCCCAAACAGAATAAACATTCCTCCCTACCATCCTCAGCAAAATATACAGGTTTCTGCTGTTATAAACTTTTGTCTTTGTTTCTATTAACATCTAATTTTTCCTCTTCTGTGTAACTGGCCATCTGAAACATGTTGGGATAGTCTTTTCAAAGTACATCAAGTTGTTGCTTCTATTCTACTAAGAAAGAAGCCTAATATCTGATAGGCTTCTGGATTTGGTTGCCTTGTTCTGACTCAATAACTGAATAATTCATAAAGCTATGATCTTTGAGTGGGCCCATGAGCAAGCAAAGGGTCTTCAGCTTGTCTAGGCTACAGGACAATCAGATCTGTCCTTGGCTTTTATGATCCAGCATATCCAAAGGCCCCAAGTACCAGGGCTGGCCAGGATGTTATGTCAAGTCTGTTGGAAGCCTTGGCAGGAGAATCACAGTCATGAACCCTAGGGTTTGGGAGAAAAGGGAGCAGAGCTTTGCTCTCTTCAAGTAACTATCTTTTTTTTTTTTTTTTGAGGACACTCTTAAGTGGAAGTGATTTGCAAAAGATCTGGCTCTGACGGCAACAGTAAGTTGAATAAGCAATGACTGGCTCATAGTTTGCTGCTCCTCCACCCTCTTTCAATGAACTACCACTTAATGGTAAGTTACTTATGACCAGCTAACAGAGGAGGAAAAAAATCTGTCCTGCTTTAAATATGCCAGCATCAACTAGAGGTGACCATGGCAGCACTGTAGCCCCACTCAGGGGAGTCCCTGGAGGATTGTGAGGAAGAGGGGTATTCCCAGTGGTCCAATTTGCCTGTAAGATATCCAGAGGTGGGGATCTCCTCTGATTCATGAGCAGTGGCTAGTGGTTGGAGCCCTGTGGTCAGGGGTTTGGAAAGAACAAAACCGGGAGTTTAGGAAAGAGTCATATTGATGGGCCTCTCCAAATGGACCCAGAGCATGACAATACATGCACCTTATATGAACACTCACCAGAGGCCTACTGCAGAGGAGTATCTCAATAATCAGGAGGACAGGATGATCTACCCTTGGTAAATGTCAGGCAGTCTCTTTCTCTAGTTGCTCCAGCCATTGCTCAAAGGGCTCGTGTATGAAGTGCATTGGTGGAAGGTGCAAAGGTTACACATGGGCTCAGTTACATAAGCATCCTCTCACCAAGGCCACTCTGCCCACTGTTTAAGTGCCCAACCTGACAGACAGAGAGGACAAACCTGAGCCTCTGATGGAGCGTCAGACTCTTGGGCCAGTTTGCTATGTGGTGGTGGGTTGTTTACCTTGGATCTCTTCCATCCTGGAAAGGATAACAATTCTCTTCACCAGAATAGATAAAAAAAATATTTATTAAGCACCTACTTGTACCAGGCATAGTTCTAGGTACTTGGGATACAGCAACGAACAAAAAGACAAAGGTAGTTTCCCTTAAGCAACTTGCTCTCTAGAAGGATGACACACGGCAAGCATGATAAATAATCAAGGTTTATAGTATGTTTGACCGCGATAAGCGCTACGGTGAAACAAAGTAAAGCAAGGTAGTGGTGACTGGAAGTGCCGCAGATGGGGGAAGTAGTTTCCAAATTGGCATGTGACTCCGGGTGGACCTCAAACCCTTGATGGGTGTCTGGGAGGAAGAGCGTTTAAGAAGGGAGCAGCCAGGGCGGAGGCCTCAGGCGGGCATGTGCCTGGTATGCACAGAGCCAGGAGCAGGCGGAGCGTCTGCCAAGAAGAAAGGAGGGGAAAGCGGCAGGAGGTGAGACTAGACAGGCAGTGGGGGCACCAGGCAGGTGGGGCCAGGGGGCACTGGGGCCTCTGACTTTTCTTTCCCTGCCGGGTTCTGAGCACAATAACCGCAGTGCTGAGAAGGGGCAGTGGGGAGGAAAGGGATGAAGAAGGCACCACGGAGCCACTGCTGTGGCATGAGTGAGAGGTGTCTCAGGCCAGGCTGGAAGCCTGGAGGTGACAAAATGAGGGGGTATTCTGGGTTTAGATATTTTACCTCTTTATTGTGGAAAATTAAAAACATACAAAAGTAGAAAATTATATAAGCCCCACTTCCTCCCACAATGTACCCATCACCCAGCCCCAGAAATGGGGCAAACATGACTAATCCTGTTTCATCCATACCCCTACCGGCTTCCTGCCCACTCTCTCCTCACTGGATTATTTCAAACCAAGTCATGTCATTTAGTCTACTAATTTAATGGCCATTTAATCATGTACATTTAACACATTCAATCTAATACTTCAGCATAAGCTCTAAAACTTAGTATCCCTTTGTTTTTATAAAAATATAACTACAATACTATCATTGATATCCAAAACATACAATCATATCCTAATATTAGTGTACAAATTTCCCTTAGTATTTTGTTAGTGATTTTTTTCTTAACTTCATTGTTCGAGTCAGGATCCAAACAAGGCCTGTCTGTTTCTTTTGGCTGATAATGTCTCCAGTCTTATTTAATTTATAGTTCTTCCCTTTTCCCCTTTCCTTTTTTTTTTTCCTGTGGAGGGAGGGTACATGTAATAAATCAATATATTTATAATGAATTGTAAAGATCAAATAAGTATAATTGGGATATCCATCATCTTAAATATTTGTTTTCTTTATCCTGGAAACATTTGAATTACTTTCTCTTCTCTTCTTCTCTTCTCTTCCTCCTTCCCTTTCTCCCTTCCTCTTTTTCTTTCTTTTGCTATTTATTTATTAAAGAAACCAGGTCAGTTGTCTTATAGAATTTTTCCTCAGTTTGCATTTTTCTGATTGCGATCACATGGTGTTATTTAACATGTTTCTTTGTCCTGTGTATTTCCTATAAACAGGTAGTTAGATCTAAAGACTTGATGGATTCCATTTAGATATCTGTGGCAGGGATACTTTGTAGGTAGTAGTGTTTACTTCCATCCGGAAGCACACAATGGTTGGCTGTCTATTTTTTATGTTAACCAATATATATAGCAGGAAACATCCAAACAAAATAGTGTTTTCCTATTTCTTTTATCCCTATTCATTTCTTGGAAGAATTTTTCTCACATTAACTATTTGGCAACTCAAAGACACAATTTGTACAAGAAAGGCTGCCCTATTTTCTTTAAGTAGGGGATAGAATTTAGAGACTCCAGCCTTCGCAAGGAGTGCTTACTGCTATTGGGTTGGTAATTATTTCTAGGCCTTTTCAGTAGAGAGACTTAAGAAATACATATCTTCTTTTTTTTTTTTAAAGGCAGAGTTTATAATGAGTTTATGCTGATATTTCCAATTCAAATGTAGGTTTGCAGAGCTGTTATTTAACTTTAAAATTTTATATTTATATCTTTATTCTCTAATGTTGCAAGTCTTTGTCCCTAATGACATTACCATAATTACTTCTTGCCTTTAGAAGCTCAGCCTGGAGGCTGCTTCTCCAGATCTTCTGATGATTTTTGTAAAGCTCTCAACATCCTTTTTTAAATGCCTCCCTCTGCAAACCACTTTGGGTGGATTCTTTTGTCTGCTGCTGAATCCTGAGTGTAAACTGCGTGGGCAGGAGTGAAAGAGCTCCACGTTGTCTGCGCAGTACCTGTGCAGCCACTCACAGTGAAACCAATCTATGCAAATTTAGATATTTTGGGCATGGATTCTCCAGTGAGACAATGGTTATAAATGTATCAAGCAGAGATCTGGGTCACCTAGTCTTTTCTATTCCTGTGCAAATCCCAATTCACCTAAAATGTGTGCTTCTGTTTTTCAAAAGCAGTCTTTCTCTCTCCTTATCCTGCCTCCCTGAATCAGACCGTAGGGAACACATTAGGTCAGGCCCAGAGCAAATCATACAGGGTCTTCTCTTAATTGTGGATCCTGGATCATTCTAGAAAGTTCTTTCAGAGGCCATCTTGTCACCACTTCAGAGGGGACGAATGAGAAGTCCTGGGACTGAACGCACGTGGGGGAGAATTGGAAATCTGGAGCTAGTTTGTCACTCCAGGGGCCCTGAGGACTGCACTGGGCCCGGGGCTTTGGTGCATGAGTAGGAGATTCTCGTAACTTTCCATGGTATCTTCGTCCTTGGAGATGACCTTTCCAGCTGAGTTATCCGGGAGCTGTGTCTTCACCTCTGAGTAGACCACTGAGGCATCCTGGAACAGAGAGAAGATAGAAGAAGAACTGGAAGGAGAGAGGGAGTATGAGGCTGTAGGTAACAGTGGTAGAGAACACAGTGGGGAAATGAAACTCACCTTGTCCTCGGGAAGTGTCCTGGAGATACTGGCTGTGGAGGGAAAGGGAACCACTGAACTATGGGCGTAAGGACCCACTTGGAACCCAGAATACTACCTTATTCCTTAGCGTCTGGGAACCAATAGGTCCTTTCCATTCATTGTCATGATTCTCCCCCAACATGTCTGACAACACATTCAATTTCCTATTTCACCATTTCTTAACCCAGCACTCTGCAAATTCTTCTCAACTCCCACCACTGTGTAAGGTCCTCCCTCAATTCCACACTGAGAAACCACACTCCCTTCCTCTACCAGATGCTGAGAAATTATTTTTCTCTTAGTTTTAATTCTTCTTTTAACTTACAGTACATCCATCTCTCCAACCCCAAGTGTTTGGCAAGTATGCCTCGTGAGAAAAACTTTCTCTTACATTAGCACGTTCTAGTTCTTGATTTTATTGCCACAGTTGCCTAAGAGATGGAGCCACAGTGAGAGGAAAGTTTAGCAGGTAGGATTTATTGGACCATGCATATTAGAAATTAAGAGTCTCAGAGAAAAAGGTAGACTTATCAGAGCAACCTAGTAATTTTATGGAGCGATAGGGCTTGAAAAGAAGATACACCCTGGTGCACTTGAGGTTTCTCTCTGCTTCTTACCATAAATCTTTTGGGGTTACCAATATTTTTAATGAGATGATAAAAGCTATGTACTTTCTCCCCAGAATAATGGTCACATACGCAGAACTTTGCATATGATTTCAAAGTCTTCATGCAAACCTTGAGGAACAGGTGAAGAAACCTGTCTACAGACCATTAATACTTCAAGTGCCTAAAATATAACTAGTCCATCAACAGAATGCTTAGTTCAAATGGTGTTTTGACAAATATGTCAAGTACAGAGTGCGAAGAACAGCAAAATGGTCAAGGTAGCTCTATAAGATAAGATGTGCTCAATCGACTCAAGAAAATTAATAGTAGTTCAAATTCTACCATTCAAAGGGTCTGGATTAATGGAGGTGGATCATGAAGCAAGGTGACAGACAAAGCAGGGGATTATCAGGTGATGTATGTTGGTCAACTACAGTAATAAAGCTGTACAAGCAGCAAATATTATAGCACAAGGGACTTGGTCTTGGCTTTGTCTTTTATTGGCTTTGTGACCGTGAGAAAGTTCTTAACCTTTCTGAGTCATATGTACAGTATTAGTACTTCATTCGTAAAACAGGTTCAGCATGAGGTTACAGCTGAAATTCCTACTAGGCACAAAGATACTGGAGATTTTAAATTCTCAAGTAAGGTGCCACATGTAGATTTATAAAAGAAATAGACTTTGACTCTAAGAGCCTGGGTTAATCAACCAAATTAAGGAAGTGTGAGCAGAGAAAGAAAGAGTCATTGAAGAGGTTTCTTTAGGAGGAGAGATACCATTTTGTACAATGTGTCTCTAGCCAGAAACTTTATCAGCGGAGTGTGTGTGTTGACTGGAGGATTGTTACATTATAACCCCGGGCCTGGTGAGGAAGGTCTCAGAGGTCCTCTTGAACCTTTGAAATCATTTCGAAGTGATTTCCCTGGTGCTGGGACACACAGCTCCTAACTCAGAGAGCCAAAGTGGACCATAGGTTGTAGGTACAGTGTTTTTCTAACAGCCGATCTTGATTCAGGTCTTGAAATGGGGTCCGGATAAGTTTAAGGAAGTGAAATAGAACTGCTCATTCTGGTCAAGGTGGAATAACAGTGACCAGATTTACCTTCCCATTTTAAACAACCAGTGAAAAGGACAAAACAATGGTTTTCAGGCATCGGACAACAGGCAGTACAGGACAAGCCGGGCCTTACGGTGGTTCCTGCTTACCACCAAGCCGTAGCACAGACTGGGGGAGCCCACCAGAACCTGGCTTCTGACTTGCAGCCTTGCTGACTTGAAGCAACAGAGACCAACAGTCCTGTTACGCTAAAGCAACCAGAATCTACAGGACAGAGTACCAGAGAGACAGCAGCAACGTAGACTGAAAGCTCTAGAGATCTGCGGAGAGTTCTCAAGCCTTTGGCTGAATGCTGATAGGCACACATATGAGAGGAAACTATCTTAGGCCAGAGTAAGAACCATTAGGAAAGAACAGGCAGAATAACACCTGAAGCTCACGCAGGTCTTGTAGTACATGGGCCACCTGATGTAGAATCCTGGGAAACGCACTGCTTTAATATTAGGGCCAGGTTAGTCATACTCTAAAGCTTGCTCAGGGCTTGCCTTAAAAAATCTTAAAAGCAAGCCTCGAAAAGATCCAACTTATACCAAGTAACAAAATTAAAAGACAAAATTTAAAATCCAATACTAACCAAATGAATAAAATAATGTAAAATTTACATTTTTCAGCATTTAATAAAAAATTGTCATACACACACATATATATATATAATGTTCTCTATAAATGTTCTCACCACAATGCCTACCACATAGTAGGTACTTTATAAACATTTATTCATTCAGACCTAAGTGCAACCTTAGTATGTACAGCATTGAGATCACAATTTCTATCAGAAGGACACTTAATTTTTGTTCTGACTTTTAGCAGAAATATATTGTGTATTTTTCATGAAAACCTCAAGGAACGGGTGAAGAAACATTTCTACAGATCATTAATACTTCAAGTGCCTATAATATAACTAGTCCATCAACAGAATGCTCAGCTTAAATGGTGTTTTGACAAATACATCAAGGACAGAGTACAAAGAACAGCAAAAAGCTTTATAGAAGAAGTAGAGACCTTTTATCTATAAGATGTGCTCAATGAACCTAAGAAAATTGGTGGCAGTTCTACCATTCAAAGGGTATAATCTGTCTTCCCTCTTTAGAATCCAAGCTCCGTGCTGTAGCGATTTTTGTCTGCCTTGTTTACTGATTGACTTCCCATACTTACAACAGTACCTCGCACAAAGGAGGGACTCAGTCAATATTTGTTGAAGGAATGAATATAGTTTGGAGCCAGAATTTCTTCCCAGAGACGTACCTTCCCCTTCTTCTCCCAGATGAATAGTCTGGACCTCAGAATATACCAAGTCTCCCTCTTCAAGGTGCACTGGAAAGAAAAGAACACTTTTGAGGCTGCCCCTGTTAGTATGTCACATGCTGCAGATGTCTCTTCCCAAGCATCCCCTCCACAATTCCTGGACACACAATGGAGTAATTATTTATTGGGAATATCTGGATTTGGGATACCATAGGGAGACCAGGGGCATTTCCCAGCACAGAATCTTTCCTTGGCTGAGTCCAGGAGAAGCTTCCTGCGATCCTCACCGTTGCCGTACAATGACTGCAGCTCCACCTGGACGGGGCAGGTGAACTGGGGGGACTCTGCTGGGCCAGCAGTGGGAGGGCTCCTGTGAGACATAGAAACACATGACAATCCCCGGAACATTATAACATGCAGGAGAGGGAGATGGCCAGGGAGAGAGGTGGAGGAGAAAGGGGGTTGAGGGAAAGTCAGCAGTCAATAGGGAACTGGAAACCCTGAGTGGTTTAACTGGAGCTTTAATAGGTCTATATAGAGTCAGATTGTTCTTTTTTATTATTATTATTATTTCAGCGTAATATGGGAGTACGAATGTTTAGGTTACATATATTGCCTTTGTCTCACCCGAGTCAGAGCTTCAAGTGTGTCCATCTCCCAGATGGTGTGCACCATACCCAATAGGTGTGTATATGCCCTTCCCCTGCTCCCCCTTCCCACCTGCCTGACACTCAGTGAATGTTACTACTAAATGTGCACCTTAAGTGTTGGTCGGTTTATACCAATTTGATGGTGAGTACATGTGGTGCTTGTTTTTATATCCTTGTGGTATTTCGCTTAGTAGAATGGGCTCAAGCTCTATCCGGGATAATACAAAAGGTGCTAGATCACTATTGTTTTTTGTGGATGAGTAGAACTCCATGGCGTACATGTACCGCATTTTATTAATCCACTCATGTTTTGATGGACACTTAGATTGTTTCCACATCTTTGAAATTGTGAATTGTGCTGCTATAAACATTCTAGTGCAGATGTCTTTTTATCCTTTGGGTAGATGCCCAGTAATGAGATTGCTGGATCAAATTGTAGTTCTACTTGTATCTCTTTGTGATATCTCCATATTACTTTCCACAGAGGTTCTTTTGAAAAGGACCCTGAGGCTCTGGCCTGGGCCAGCTGCCTCAGAATAAGGCCAGAGAGTCTTTGACGTCCTAGTAACAGTTGGCTCATAGTTAGAATAGTCACTCTTGGTTGGTTAAAAATACCAGGCTCATCATCAGGAAGTACTGACTAAATGTCTTCGCATTGTCATGTCTGGACAATTCAAGAAGGAATTAGACACAATTTGTACTCTAATCCCTGGAGCACTGAACACAGACTGAGGAAGAGGACCATATTTTCCTAATGGAAGTTAAGGACACACAGTCTAATGAGTATATGTGCATGTCTGGGGCAAAAAGAAGATTAGACTTCCTCGGGAAATCTAGAACATTTGTAGAAAATCTAGAATCTAGTCATTGCATGTATAGTTATAGTAACACAATGTCTAGCTATAGGACTATTTGTGCCAGAAATACTATGTGCCAACCCAGAAAATCTATAACCATTAGTATCATCCATTTAAATGAGTGGATTAACTTCGAATAAGAAAATGATCTAAATATTTGCAAAATCTAAAATACTATTACCCGACAAGAACATTTCTAGAAAGTTTCATTTTGGGCTGATTCAAGGAATGCGAAAATAGGAGCATCTAGCCACAGGGTCGAAGACGAATAACTTGACCTAATTTTGTAACCCCACAGTTTTGCATATTGTGTACTTGGGAAACAAAAAAGGTGCGTACAGAAGCTGAGGGCTCACCTGGTTTCATTTCCCCGGAAACCATCTCCTGCAAAATAAAGCAAAGGGGCATTTATGCCAGCAGAGGGAGCTCTTTCTCAAAGACTTCAGGCACATGAATTCTTTAATAGAGGCCATGAAGAAAGTCAATTCAAACATGGGCCCAGTCCTGGATTCTCATGAAAATGATGTGGAAAAGGATTGAACAACGCATAACTTGTTGGGGCCAGGGCTATACACTCCTGCGTTAAACACACAATTATTTGAGACTTTTTTAGGGCTCAAGTCTGTGATGCAGTACCTCGGGAAATATTAAACATAACCAAATCATCACTCTTGCACAGTAGTGAGCAGTGGTGGACGTCGAGGAATCTCTGTTTCCATGCCAGAGGAACCTCAGGCTCAGACTCAGTATTACTAAAGAGACTCATGGGCAGAGGTCCAGAGCTCCCTACGTCCAGGCCAACGCAGGGCACGCAGAGGTGCGGGATTAAACTGAATTGAATGAAGAGACAAAGTTGAAGGATGTAGGTAATTATTCTAGAACCAAAGAGATCCTGTTCCTGTCTTCTACACCAGGTTTTCTGGCATCTGCAGGTAGCCTGACCTGGGCTAAGGCAAGGAGCCTTTGGAAGCACATGTCAGACAGTGCCTGGGAGGGACCCTCTCCCAAGGTGGGGGACCCTCTCCCAAGGTTGGGGACCCTCTCTCAAGGTGGGGACCCTACCCAGAGGTGGGGAGGCTGACCTGTGGACAGCAGGGCTGACAAAGCATGAGATGGTGGGTTCAAGCTCGGACCCAGGGAAGTCTCTGAGGAGGCAGAAGTATAGAAATTAGCCAGGTCCCATTCTCAGTCATTTCTTCAGAGCCCTTCAGTTTATTTCAATTCTCCATTTATGGTGGATTTAGGATAGCCTGAAGTATCTAATTGGCCAGTTTGTAAAGCTCACTCTGGGTGGGCCGGGGTTGGAGTGGCACAGGAAATAGGTCCCTCTGACAACTTCAGTGAATCATTTCAGAAACTAATGATGAGGGGGAAATCCCCCTTGAACTGCCCAAGTAAACTGTTCAGATAAAGTCTTTGAAACTTTGCATTAAAAATTTCACTCCTCCCTCCCTTTCACCTGACTTGATAAACCAGGCCAGGCATAAGCAGCTCTCACCAGCTGCGTGTGTGGGGGAAAGTACCCTTTAAGGAAGGGACATGAGTGTGTGTGAGTGTTGGGTGCAGCCAGTGGGGAATGGTGGCCTGGTGGTCCCTGAGGCTGGCCATCGGCTGAGGTGTCTGGGTCAGGGACAGGGAAGGGACTCTAGCAAAGGTAAGGGAGGCGCACAAACCTGATTTCCTCCGGTGCCAGCAGGAGAACAGCAGAGCCACAGCCAGGAGAAGGGTGCCCAGCAGCCCTCCCGTGGCTCCCACAGCAATTACACCACCTCTGCTGCCTGGAGTCCCTAAGGGGAGAAAGAACCCGTGTGAGCCCCAGCGGGGAGGCTCAGGGCTTGGAATTGCCCCTTCCTCAGCTTGGCTGGGGTCCCGAGCCCCGGGAGAGGGAGGAATGTAAAGGATTGGGACTCGTGAGAACACTCTGGGCCAGGTTAATGGCCAGAAAAGCTCGCTCTGGGTGGGCCGGGGCAGGAGTGGCACGGGAAATAGCTCCCTCTAACAACTTCAGTGAATCATTTCAGAAACTAATGAAGAGGGGGAAATCCCCCCATTGTGGATTCTTATAATCCGGCTTCCTGGGGATTTCCCGCCAGACACCTGGAAAGATGTCATGTGACGGTGGTTTGGCAGCACTTAACTTAAGAACAGCAGTCTGCCTGGCATAGAAAGCAAAGGCCGCCACTGATCAGGGCACCAGTGGGACCAGCAGTGGCTGTGAACGTGCTGCCCATTAAGAAAGTATGTCGGGACATCACAATGAAATGGCGCCAGCGTCCTTCCTCACAGAAGCCTGCGCCTAATATGCTCTGAGGGCAGAGGAGAAAAAAACAGATGGACAATTACAAACAGTCAAGTACATTGTTTTGGGGGTCTCTGAGTTTTCCATTGGGTCCATTCTCCTCTCCTCTCGTCCACAGCAAGAGAGGTTTCATTCCTTCCCCTCATTCATTCAACAAATATTTACTGAAGCTACCCTGTGCTGGGCGCTGATCTAAGCCTTGAGGATACCACAGTGAGCAAGACAGTGAGGTCCCTGCCCTCATGGAGCTTATGGTCTGGGAGGGGGAGACAGGCAATAAGCAAATAAATCTACAGCATGCCCCGTGCTGATCAGAATGCAAAGCAAGCGCTGGATAGAGACACAAAGACTAGGGGGCGGTGGTGCTTTTCATACAGATTCTTGGTCCTCAGGTAAACCAAATTCTGACTCCAGACACAGTATCGCAGAATTGGACAGAGAAGATCCAGATATTCGAACAAGAGCAACACTGACGATCATTTCCATTTATTTCCCTCCATGATTTCCAGCACAGAGTGGCCACTGGCCAGCAGTGGCTGGTGACATTTCCGTCTCTATCCTCCGCTTCCTGACAAAACCAACAAACCTGCTGTTTGACCCGGGTGTTTCCACCTACAAGCAGTGTTCAAGGGGCAGCGGCCCGGCCTCTGTGCTGTGACAGCTGAACCGGGGGGTGCAGAGCGGAGAAATCCAGGGCAGAGCAGCCTGGCCGCTGTGTCCTGTATCGAATCTCCCCCTTGTCTGCTGCCGCGCCCACCTGTGCAAAATCGGAATCAGCTGTACCTGGGCCTGGGCTTCCAGATTCAACGGGCAGAAAGCAAGTTATTCCCCCTTCCTGCTATCCCTGTTTCCTAGAAGAAATGGTTGCTTTGGGAGTAGTAATTGAAATGTGTGTTAGTTAGAACGGCACAGATTATAAAACCAGATGTGTTTGGCTTAGAATCCCAGGTCCTTCAGTTACTACCTATGTGGCCAGGGAAAATTATTTAATCTCTCTGTGCCTCAGTTTTCTCATCTGTAAAATGGGGATAATATTAATAGTAGCTATTTATGATTGTTGGTGAATTAAATGTGTTAATATATATAACGTGCTTTGAACAGTGCCTGCACATAAGTGCTATGTCTATGTAAGTATTAGTATTTGCTCTTATTTGGTGTCCCTACACTATACTTGTGGCTCTAAGGAACTTCATGCTGCTCTCTGGTCAGCTTAGCGGGCAACCCCATAGGTTAGACCTGCTCCTTCACGGCACCACCCCTGCCAACCTCAGCCCATGCTTTCGATTGAGTTGTGTCCCGCCACTGCAAACTTATATGGCGAACCTCTAACCCCAATATGATGGTGTTTGGAGACGGTGCTTTTGGGAGTACTTAGGTTTAGATAAAGTCATGGGGGTAGGGCTGTAAAGATGGAGTTAGCACCCTTCTAAGAAGAAACCCCAAAAGGTTTGTTCTTGCTCTCTTTCTCTGCCGTGTGAAGACACAGCAAGAAGGCGGTCTTTCCGTAAGCCAGAAAGAGAGCCCTCTCCCAAACCCAGCCATGTTGGGGCTCTGATCTTGGACTTCCAGACTCTAGAACCACAAGAAAATAAATTTCTGTTGCTTAAGGCACCCATTCTATGATATTTTCTATGGCAGTTGGAGCTGACCAAGACAGCTAAAGCTGACCACTTTAGCCCAGTGCTCAGGGTTATTACGGAGTTCCTCTCCTGTTATAGATCCTCCCGTTTCTCACCGCCAAGGCTATACTTGCTTGGCCTAGGACTGCGGTAGCAGGGCTGGAGAGGACAGGATGAATGAGAAAGATTTGGGAGACAAAGCAGACAGTTTGGAGATTGAATATGGGAGATGAGGCAAGAAAAGGAGCCCCGCATGTGGTCTCGGAATGCAGACTTTGTGCCTGGGTGGATGATGGTGACATTCCCAGCAACTGGAGGCAATATACTTGCCTCTCTTCCTATGGCCTTGGCGATGTTTGGACTTTGCATGGTTTGCAGTGTCTGGGTGGGGCTGCCTGGCAGACAGTTGAATATGTAAATTTGGAGTTCAGGGGAGAGGTGTTGGCTACAGATACTGATTTACATAGTAGTTCCATGGGAAGACTTGAGAAAATTTGGGGGGTGAGAGACATATTATCTTGACTATGATGATAGTTTCATAAGTACATAAAATGTTAAAAATATTAAATTACATTCTTTTTGTGCAAAAAATAAAAATAAATAAATTCTCCCATTTCTAAGCACAGAGATTTTCCATAAAGTCCACAAATAACAGATTTAGGAGGAAATATCCACCCCACCAGTATCTACTGAATCCTTGACATCAGTTTAATCTCTGAGATCATCTGTTTTTCCTTAGTGGATGATGACACCTGCTTGGCAGGGCTGTCATGAGAATAAAATGGAATCATACCTGCGAAGTGACCAGCCCACTGCCCGCATCCGGGGAGGCTGGCCATTCCAGTGACCTTAATCCTTAAAAGGAAGAAGAATATTTTACACTTAAGTGTGAACTACCCACAGATTCACTATTACCTCCCTCAGGGGCTTTAACCTCTGTGCTCCCTGAGGGAAACTTTTCAGTATAAGAACTTTCCAGGAGAAGCAGCACCTCCACCTCCAGCTTCACTCTGGATTTCAGGGCATTCAGTGGTCTTCTAGGGTGCCCTTGGCAGCTTCCAGCTTTGCTGATCCTTTCTCCCCTGGCCTGATCTGATTCTTGAATGGCCATCGGAATGCCATAGGCTCGGTCTCAGCCCTTCCCTGTTGGGAATTACGCCCAATGTCACCTTTCCTCAAGCTGTTCCCAAACTGAGATGCAGGCCCTTCTCTGGCACCAGGTTCTGGGAAAACATCTCAATCTCCTGACCTGGGAGAGCCCCATTGATCACAGGACTTGCCTCAAGGGAGTTGAAGGGAAAATTGAGCAGCAGCTGGGCCGTTAGCATAGCAACCCCTTCCCAGAGCCTCTAACTAAGCTGTTCAAGTTCATGGCTCCATCAGAGCTGACCACTCACATAAACAGCACAGCTCTCTGCTTATTTATCATAGTGGACAGTAAGTACTTGACTGCGTGGTGTTTCTTTGGAGAACTTCGACAATGCTCTCTCTTTCTCTCTCTCTCTCTCTTTCTGAGCCAAATGATTGTATCAGGCTGCTCTGTGACCCCATGCAAATTACCAAACCTCTCTGAGCTTCACTTTCCTTTTCTGTAAAATAGAAATAATGATATCTTTATTTTCTAGGATTGCTATTCTGTTAAAAAAAAAAAAACTATAGAAACAGAAAAAGAAGAGTCGCAAGGGAGAAGATGTATGCAAAATTAATTCATTCAACAAATGCTTATTGAATGCCAGAGTCAGGCACTGTTCTGGGCACTTGGGATACAATGGTGGTCAAAGCAAGGATCCGTCCTTATGAGGCTAATCTGAGAGGAGTGGGAGAATGCAGCCAACAAGCAAGGGTGTCATGGCGTGGCAGGTGGGGATAAGGGCTGTGGGAGGGACCAGGAAGAACTGGGAGAGGGAGCACTGGGGTAAGGGGCTGCTGTGTTACAAAGGGTGGTTGGGGAAAGACTCACTGAAAAGGTGAGTAGCATTCTGGAGGAAGAGGGGAGTGAACATGAGGCTCTCAGGGGAGAGCAGTGCAAAGGCCCTGAGGTTGGAGTGTGCCTGGGAAGCATGAGGAAGAGACAGAGTCAGGGTAGCTGGAGTGGAGAAGGTGAGGGGAGGGTGGTAGGAGATAAGGTCAGGGTGGCAGGGGGCTAGATCATGCAGGGCCTGGTGAGTCACTGAGAGGATGTTGGCTCTCACTTTGAAGGACATAGGAAGCCAGGGGAGGATTTTGAACAGAAGAGAAACATGATCTGACTTATGATTTAAGGCTCTCCTCTGATGCTGTATTGAGGATAGACTGGGAAGTAACAGGTGACGCAGAGGACTGGTTAGGATGTTATTGCAATAATCCAGGTGAGGGATGCTGGTGGCTTGAACCAGGTGCTGGTGGTGGAGGTGGTGACAGGTAGTCATATTCTGTCTGTATTTTGAAAGTAGAGCCATCAGGACTTGCAGGTGGATTGAATATAAGGGATGAAATAAAAGAAGAGTCAGAAATGATGCCCAGATTGTTGGCCTGAGGAACTAGGAGAAGGGAGTTCTATGTTTACCAAGGGGAGGCTTTATACAGGACTTTATCTGGGGTAAAAATCAACAGCATGGTTTGGTATGAATTGTTTGAGATGCTAATTAGCTACTCTTGTGGTGCTGAGTACTTGATTTACGAACTTGGATATATAGGTCTTGAGTTCAGACTGGGGGTCTAGGCTGCAGACTGAGTTTGGGGACATAAGCATATGGAAGTCATAAGTGCATTTAAAGTCACAAGACTAGATGAGATGATATGGAGACTGGGCACAGAAAGAGTCTGAGAACAGAGCCCTGGAGGTCCCCAAAATGTGGAGGTTAGAAATATGATGAGGATCCAGAAAGGAAACCTAAAAGAAGTATCTGATGAATAGGTAGAATAGCAAGAGAGAGTTGTGTCCCAGGAGTAAAGGAGGAAAGTGTTTGAAGACAGAGGGAGGGATTAATTGTGCTAAAAGCTGGAGGCTGGGTGCCATGGCTTACACTTGTAATCCCAGCACTTTGAGAGGCCAACGCAGGAGGCTCCCTTGAGACCAGGAGATCGAGGCCAGCCTCAGCAACATAGCAAAGTACTGTCTCCACAAAAAATAAAAAATGTTAGCCAGGCATGGTGGTGCACACCTGTAATCACAGGTATTTGGGAAGGTGAGCCGGAAGGCTGAGTCAGGAGGATTGCTTGAGCCCGGGAATTTGAGGCTGCAGTGAGCTATGATTGTTCCACTGCACTCCAGCTTGGGCTATAGATGCAGACGCTGTCTCTTAAAATGAACAAAGAGCTACAGATAGATCAAGTAAAATGGAAACTGGGAATTTTCCATTGGCCTTAGCAACAAACACAGAGATCATTAGTGATCCTCACAACAGTCATTTTGGCAGAATAAGGCCAGCCCGGTGGTGGTAGGTTTGAAAGAATATGAGAGAAGTAAAGAGAGTGAGTAGAGAAAACTCTTTTGAGGAGTTTTATTGTAAAAGAGAGCAGGGAAATCTAGCTTTCTAGTAGCTTTTCAATAAAAGCTAGCTTTATTGGATAGCGGATGCAGCTAAACCTGAGATAGAGAAGGAACTGATGCCCACTAGAGACCATTTCCTTAGTGCTGAGGTTGCTGAGTGATGACAGGTGAGGGTGGCCAACAGACGATGGAGTTTGGCCCTAGAACATCACTAAATGTGATACGCTTTCCCTCCTCACACTCAAGGCCCAGGAGAGAAAACTGGACTAACTCTGGACAAGCGTTTGGGTGTGTTTTTTGTTTGTTTGTTTGTTTGTTTGTTTTTGAGACAGAGTCTCACTCTGTTGCCCGGGCTGCAGTCCAGCTCACAGCAACCTCAAAATCCTGGGCTCAAGCAATCCTTCTGCCTCAGCCTCCCTCCCGAGTAGCTGGGACTACAGAGATGTGCCACCATGCCCGGCTAATTTTTTCTATATATATATATTTACTTGTCCAGCTAATTTATTTCTATTTATAGTAGAGACGGAGTCTCACTCTTGCTCAGGCTGGTTTCGAACTCCTGAGCTCAAACAATCCACCCACCTTGGCTTCCCAGAGTGCTAGGATTACAGGTGTGAGAGACAGAGGAAGAGAAGGATATGAGCTAGGACTGGGGGATTCCTGAGGGAGGCTTATCTCCTCAATGGACAAAACTGGACTCTGCGTCTTCTCTCCTACTTGTAAGTTCCCTGACCTGCACACAGCTTGGTTACCCAGAATCCCTCAAGCCTACAGTAATGAAGTCAAGGCCTCATGCCTTTGGTGCTGTCGGACTTGAGGACACTGGTCGGATGTGCTGTGGATGATTTACTGAAAGGAGAGGTGTAGTTGACACTATTGAGTGACAGAGCTGTGCCCTACTCTCAAATATTGCTAGCGAGGGAAGGCTCCTGCTTGAGAATAACACACCCTGGATCAGAGCGCAGACACACAAAATCACCTCCGAGGGGCGAAATGCTCCTGGCCGGCATCACCTCCCTGTGGTACCGTACTCTCACCTGGCTGAGTTACTAACATTCCAATGGAATAAATTCTCTATCTCAGTGGAGGATGGGAAGATGGAAACAGAAAACAGAAAGTCACAAGGGTTCGTTAGCTGTGTCTACCCCTAATTCGAGAGAGTTTGCTGAGAATAAACCAGGCCAGTAGAGATTAAAGCTCACCTCTCACAGTGACGTTCACCACCCCGCTCTGTACGGGGCCATAGCTGTTGTCAGCTGCGCAGTAGTATCCCCCGGCGTGGCTCTCTCGGATGACAGGGATCTCCAGCTCTGCTCTCTGAGAGCGCAGAGTTTTCCTCCCCAGAGTCTCGTTGGTGTCCTCTCTGTGCCAGGAGAACGTGGTGTCCCCTGTGCCTTCAGCCACAGAGCAGACAAGGACCAGCACCTCCCCTTCAGCCACCTGGTCCCCTGGGGGCTGGGTCTCCATGAGCACTCCAGACACGGGGATCCCTACGTAGAAATGAGACGACAGGTGAGGGCCAGGTGTGAGGGTGGGCAGGGCTGGAGTGTTGGATAGGGTCACTTTCCACGTGACTTTAAGATACATTCTCAGCAGGAACTAGCACTGAGGCCAACAGATTATGGATTTTGGACCTAGAACATCACTAAATGTGATACGCTTTCCATCCTGATACACAAGGCCCAAGGAGAGAAAAATGGACTAACCCCAGAGAAGCATTTGGGTTTTGTCTGATGTCCTAGCTGGTGGTCAGAATTGTTTTGAGGCATAGGTGATAGTGGCTATCATGGCACTAGGCCAGACCACAGCTATTTCCAGAAGTTCTGCTTTGGTACCTAAGAAAAGCTGTTTTTAGTGTGTTTGTCTTTCTGTGTATACATCTCCTCTTCCGCTGTACAAGTTGCAGGCACTCACATTGCTTGTTGCTATAGAACAGTAAGAAATGATGCTCGTCTTCTAAGTAGTTTGTCCTAAGATCTGACATTCTAGAGTCTGCCAGCTCAGAAGCAGGGCATCTTGTTTGCCTGTTTTGTTTTCCACAGCTCTCACTCCGAGGTGGCAGAGTTTCAAAGGAAGACTGAGTTTTTAGGGAAAGAGAGGTGGAAAAGAAATCACATATTGCTTTTCTCATAGCACTTCTCAGCCTAAGCCTGGTGCCTCTGTCAGAATGACATGATCCGTCTCTGTTGGGCAGTCTCCACGCCCACCGGGCCAGAGGGACAAGGAGGGGCAGGGAAGATGCCACAGCTCTGCTCGGCCGCCCGGCTCCCCCAACACTCACTTTGCACGTGGATCTGCAGTGGGAGGCTGCGTTTGTGGACACTACCGCTCGCTGTTTCAGCACCGCACCAGTAAGACCCTGAGTCTTCTCTCCAGACGGCCGGGATCTGGAGTTCTGGGGACTTGCTCCAGTTTGACAGGACGACCCCGTCATCTCCAAAAAAGACGAAGTAAAGCGGGGTGTCCGACCTCTCTGGAGGAAGCTGTGTTTCACAGCTCAGGTTCACAGAATTCCCCTCCGTAGGCTGAGAGACTGTGGCTATCAGCTTTGGCCGTGGAAACAGTTCTAGAGAGAAAAGGCAAATCAGATTCCCAGCGTGAGAGTGTTGAGCACTCTAGGAGAGATGGGCTGGGATTCTCAATCCCAGAGAACTCCAGCACACAGCCAGACAAGCTTACCAAACCCACGACCACGTTTCTGTCCCCCAGGTTTATCCAAGTCCAATCACCCCACTTCCTCTGTCTCTTAAAGGACTTAGGCCTCTCAGGTAGCCATCATTTCAACATTAACCTATAAATTCCCTCCTTACATGCTCGATTTCCCCACCCTGACATTACTAAGCAAATTTATATGAAATGAAAGGTTTACCTTGAATTTTGATCATTTTGCGATTTGATCTAAATACATAATTTTTGTCCTCAGTTCCAGTGCATTGGTAATCGCCATTATTATTTGAACTTGCTTGTGGGATAAGAAGATCCCGGCTTTCATTAAAAGTAGAAAGAATTTTTCTGTTCCAAAAGTATTTCACAGCAGTTAGTTTCTTTTTCCCCTTTCTCTGACATCTCAGAACCAACGTGTCACCTTCAAACACAGAATATGGGGCCTGCAGGATGAGGGATTCTGGAAACAACACAAAGTGAGGATATCATCATTGAAGGCACTCCTGCTACCTCCCTCCTCTGTGTCTCTTGAATTACAAAGGCTTTGTTGTTTTCTTCTTTTTTCTGCAATAGGATTTAGTTCTCCTGATCCAAGCTCACTCATCTCCTTGCAAATCAGTGTGACACGCTTCAGATACAGCTCCTAAATAAACCCCAAACACATCTATTCAATCATGCAAGGTCAGATTCAAAATGTAAGATCCTGATATGGAGGGGAAAAAAAGCTGAGAGGAGGTGTGATAGAAATGCCCGACATTATAGAAAATGGCAAAATTTAACACCAACCTGCTCACCAAGTCTCAGAGCAGGAACTATCAAAGTAGCATTTGGAGAACTTTACAAAAAAGTATTACGATGCATTGGAGTATTCTGTGCAGCAGGATTATTGTCACAGACACAAATTTAGGTTCAAGGGACAGTGAATATGGTCCGCTATGGAAAGTCTCATGCTATTCAGATTCAAATTTGAGGTTAGCTCTGTCCTTTCTCTCTTAGATGACTGTGTTGAATGCCTACTCCTACAGAGCTGTGCTGTGGAGGAGACACAAATCATTGTCTCTAAATGAGGCAAAGCTAGACAGGAAGAGATGTGGGGACTTGATGCCAGTCAGATAGAAAGGAAGGAATAAAGAAGGGACAGATAGCAGAACAGGTGGGGAGGAAAGGCCTGAGGTTGGAGATCTCCTTCCTCCAATTCTGATGGCACTTTTCACTCTCTGCCTTGTGCCCAGCACACTAGCACATTTGTGCACGGGTCATCTTCTCCCTGATGACGCTGTGGAGTCCTACAGAGTGGGATCTCAGACAGCTTCATTTGTGCATCCCCAAAACTAACTTATTTCCTTGACTATGTACTCCTACAAGAATGTGCATTAATATTAAACAGTTAAACTCAAGCTCCAATAGCAGTTTGGAAAACGCTGGTAGACAATTAGGGAGAATGTGAAACTGAAAGTATTATCAGTTGAAGTCAAGGGCTAGAGAGGAATGAAGGACCCCAATTGTCGGAATCTCCAGAGAGCTAAGATGAACGTGAATCATTTCTAAAGTTTTAACTAATTCACCTTCTTTCTCACCTATAGAGAAGAACAAGTGCACAGGGTTGCTTGGGGTTGACCCCCCCGTCTGGCATGTGTACTCTCCGGATGCGCGAACCTCGAGGGTGTTTCCTGGGGTGTCTGTTACTATTTTTTTCCATGAATACCATTTTGTTTTCTGCGGTGAGTAGTGAAATCCATTGCAAGTCAGATTCACTCTCTCTCCTCGGAAGACAGTGGTCCATGGAGGATGGAGGGAAATCACAGGTTTGGGTGCAGTTGCTGAAGAGAAGAGGAGAAATAGGTGTGAGGTGGGGGTGTCTGCAGTCCCAGCCAAAGTGGTTTGTCTGGGATAGACTGGAGCATCTGGCATTGGAGAACCCCTAAGAGGCCCCCAGGGTGGGCTGCTGTTTCCCCAGGTTGCAGAGCCTCCAGGCGTACTCACCTGAACCCAGGGTACATCAGCTGCTGGGGGGGTGGGGGATCTGCAGGAGCAGATTGGCCTTTCAGAGAGCAAACCTAGCAGGATCTACTCGTCATTAATCGATGATAGGGGAGGCTCACAAATCCTCTAACCTTTTCTGGTAGACCTGGTCCTCAGGTAGATAATTGGTAAAAAGCCATTTCTCCTGGACTCCCACCCAGGGTCCTCGCGCTACAGATACCTCTCTAAGATGAGGGTGTGTGTGTACAAGGTACCAGAATATGCCACCCCCAAATTGGCTTCTTTGGCATACGCATTATTTTGAGCAAAAGGCCATTGAGAAGCACCAGAAACAGGAAGAGCTCTAAAAACAGAGCACAGGTTTTTCTTTGGTTAGAAAATTTTCGTTTACGAAGACAATTTCTGTTTGTAAAGGTGTTGTAATTGGCCTTATAAAATGACCTCCCCCCCCTAAGTTATTTTTTGTTCTCTCCCCAACATCGCAGACTTTCAGATCAGTCAAGCCTCATGAATAAAACATTTTAATCTTCTTGCTTAACTAACTTCTCCACAGGACTTCCTGGTGACTCACCGTCCTCACCAACAGCTGACTCTCGAACCAGACCACCTGCAGACCCCGTGACTTCAAACCTTAGTCAGAGAGACAGATTTGAGAAACATCTCCATCTCCTGGCTGACATCAATTGCAATAAAACCCTTTCTTCCCTGGCAATACTCATCTCTGTAATTGGCTCTCTGAGCCGGAAGCAAGGTGGCTAGGCTGGACTCCTTTTGGGTTCGTGCAAGGGGCGGCCTTACAAAATTAACAGGAAAATATCTTATCTCGCAATTTCCTAGTAACAGTTAAAGATCAATCCTGTGAGTTCTCTCACTAACAGGCACCCTGCAGGAGTTTTGTTTTTGCACGACTTCTGAAAAAAGCCGAATAGATGGGAAAGATGTAAATCTTACTCTCTTAAAATTACTTTTGAGGATCTGTTTTTACAAGAGTTCCTGAGTGAACAGCAGGTTGTGAGTTTTTGAAACCGCCCTTCACACAAGTCAAAAACAAGGAGGTGCAGGGCAAGAACTGTGGTAAGGGCCTAGGTAAAAATAATGATAATAATTAGTCCCTGTCCCCCTGTTTTGCTTCTCTATAATTGCTACCCCAGAGCCACGCAGCTGGTGTTCATAAAGATTCTTAACTTCTCCCCATAGCTGTGTCCATAAAGACTCTTAACTTTCTCCAGAGATAATATCACCTTTTTGAAACCTATGTGTAGTTTTTTTAAGATATCTTCGAGGCCCTGCATTCCAGTGGATTGATAGACCCAGCCAGACCAGCTGCCCAGACCAAGGAACTGACTCAACTGGAATTGTGACCCCAGGGACTGAAACAACACAAGCAGATGATTTTCACACCCCTATAAATTTTGCCCCGATTAAGGAACCTAATTGCCCAATCCCTTGCCTGTCAAATTATCCTTAAAAACCCTGTCTCCCAAATTCTCGGGGAGGTGGATTTGAGAGATTTCTCCTGTCTCCCCATTTAGCCCTATGCGGAATAAAGACTCTTTCTCTGCCGCAAAACCTGCTGATGCTGTGCATTGCGCATTTTGGCTGCTTCTTGGGCAGCGGGGGAATGACCCTGGTTGGGCGGCAGCAGTTTCAGGCCTCAGCCATATCTCAGGGACAGAGTCACACCTCCTGCGATGGTCCCTTCTCCAAAGAAAGGCAGGAGACCAACTCTTGGACTTTGACATCCTGCCGCAGTTTTGGCTTCTGTTACCGTCTTGCTGCCAAGAAGAAAGAAAGGAACGGGTGCAGCGGTTTCTCACAATGATCACAATTATTTTTTCCTTTCTCTTTGTCCCCATAAAATCAGTGAGCCACTTGGCCTCAGGGCTGGCACCCCCGCCCCTTCTCTTTCTTTGGGACACCACGCTTTCTCCCTGCTCTCCATGTGTATTACCTTTCAAAAATAAAACCTCAGTTTTGGGGTGTGGTGTTTACTATAAAATTTTAAACAGAATCACTGTGAGTGTATTTCCTTCTTTTTAGGACCTTTTTTGCTCAAATAAGGACTGTCTACATTTAAGGGCTTATAAGCAATTGCCTTTTTTAAAACTTCAGATTTTAGATATTCTTACCTTTTTCTGGAAGAACTTCCCCAATAGGTCTTTTTAGTTATAACCAAATGTAAAGAAAATGGCCTTCTCTCTGTCTGGGAGCAAAAACTGTCCAGTAACCTGAATGAGTGTTTTAAATGAAGACGCTAAATGTCTGTTTGGAAATATAAAACTTTTACGTGTCTCTGCAGACTTTAAAAACATTTTTCCTTTAAAGGTTTGGACAGAGTACTCTGTGTTCCCAGTGGGAATAGAGTTGTGTTTCTCCTGAAGGGAATAGAAATCCCCACCAGCTACTGTCCTGGGAAGCATCTGGGGCTAGGGAAAGAGGATGTGGGCAGTAGGTTTTCTCCAGGAGGGAAGAAGAATCCCTTCCTTTGGTGTAGACGGCTGGATTGCTCTTGGTCTGAGAAAGCTGCCCCTCCTGTGTGTGGCCCCATAACCACAAGGAGTCACACCTTATCAGGGCCTTCATGTGGTTGGGACAGAGCTGATGGGCTCTGAGATTAACTGTATCTAATAGCTGACATACGACACTTTCTGTATTCCATTTCCTCATCCTAGAGCCATTAGCAAAGTGCTGTCTTGTCACAGTTAGGCAGCGACGTGTGGGAAACGGTTTGTGTCTACGGCACCAAAGGGGAGGCCAGCAGACTGAGAAACTGCAAGAGACGGTGTGTGCCAGGGGGCTGTGGGCCCTGCTGGCTCCGGCAGGATGACAGCCTTCCAGGAGGTCCCCACAGGGATGGCCAACCCACCTGTGAGGCGGCCCCCAGCAGCAGACTGGGCTTTCTGCTGAGCAGTAGGATATGGGGGGGGGGGCTCAGCGTCACCATGATTCGAGCTAATAGCAGGAAAGAGTGTCTACATAGTATGCTGATGCTTGGGATAAATTGGTCACACATGGTTGGGGGCAAAGTTGTTGGAGACCCAGCCTCCCCCTTTGAAGGAATGGCTTGCCTCTATCCTTTCCCTCCCAGGACCCCTGCATTGCATCAGGAGTGGCTAGCCTCCCACACCAGGCAGGGGGGCACCTCCTCCTCCTGTGGACCCCGTGACACACATTCCAGGGCCCCTGTGTTCATGCAGCACAATGGTGGGTTTGGTCCGAGACAGTGACGTCCACACTGCCTGGTTCTTAGGTTCAGAGTTGCCACGGCAGCTTTTCCTTTTCACATCTCTCGGTCCTCAGGAAAAGGATAACAAGGCCTCTTCTTACGAGTAGTTGAGATAAAAGATAGTTATTAGGTTATCTAGAGACATAAAAGAGAACAGAAAAGAGGGACTTACCGGGTTGTCCACTGACTGGGGCTGCAAGAGAATTGAGAACCAGGCATCAGTGCGGGCAAGGAGGCCCAGAACATTCACCCAGAGCGTCCACATGCCTGCGTTCTACTTCCAACCAAGAGGAACAGAGACACAGCCAGTTGCGTCCACCTCAGAGAAGCCGACTAACGCAGTGGCCAGAAGTTGAGGTTGTGGACTCAAGCCTGGTTTGAATTTTAGCTGTGTGACCCTGTGAAACCACATGAACTTTCAAGTCTCAGTTTCCTTATAGTATTCTTATAATGAGTTACATTAGTAAGTTCTCGATGGTGGCTGTCATTATTATTATTATTTTTTAATATAGGGCTGCTGCTGGGATCTGGCCCTACTATCTTCTTGCCTGGAAGAGTCTTCTCTTCCTTCAGTACCAAGCAAAGTCAAGTCAGCCATGCTTTAAGGCCCTGACGAGCCACACCTCCTTTGCGAAGCCATCTCAGATGCCTCTGGGTTGAAGCAACCTCCCCATTCTCTTGACCCAGACACTTACTACCATAGCGTGGTTGGAACTCAAAATGAGACATACAGCAGGGGGTAGTAGTTAAAAGCACAGTTTCCAAAGTCAGATTATGGGTTTGAATCCTGGCTCCGCTGCTGTATTAGCTGCACGAACCTTAGGCACAATGCTGAAGTCCCTGTGCCTTAGTTTCCTCTTTTGTAAATGGGAGTTATAACAGTTCGAGCTCATCGACTGTTAGAGAACTGGATAAATTAATACATGGGATACCCTTAGAAGAGTATGTGAGACATACTCAGGTGTTCAGCAAAAACTATTTCTTTCTATAACCCCAATAAATCTCCTGTAAAAATTTTATTATCATCACACATTATCCTATGACCCATTGTGTAATTTTTTTTCTTGTATTGTCAAGTCAAATGTTCTTGCATTTGTACTTTGATGTCCTAATCTGCTCCTGAGGGCAGAGGCCTCTGCATCCTTCCTGGCGCCCAGCACTGCGCTACGCTAAGTATAAAGTCACTATTCACCGAGCTCCCGTCATGTGCCAATAGCACCAATAAATCTTCTGTTAGTTAGGGTCTGGGATATAGGTGGGGAAAAAAGACAAACACGCTTAATAAATACTCAATGTACAAAAGACTGACTGTTCTTTAATTCCCCAGCTTCAGCTACTAGGAAATCAGTGCCTCGTTTGGACAAATATCAGCAAGTTGTACAGAAGCAGGAAGAAAAAAAATCAAAGGGAAACCGTCTTATTTCTTCTCTTCTCATACTCTTTGCAAACATCAGAGCAGATTTGATCTTAGGATACAGAGAAGGAAATAGCTCTTCTCAGCAGAGGATCTTTTCTACCTGAGCTCACGATTAGGATATGGTTCTTCACAAGAGGCTCAGTTCATCTTTCACTCTGAGTCTCAGGATCTGTGCTTTAGGGAGGTAACTGAATGTAGCTGCCATTTTTTTTTTTAAAGAAAAAAAAAAACAAACAAAAAAAAACATGAATTGAGCCTGCTTTGAGATAGGAGGAATTTTCCATAGGCAACTAAAAGAAAAATGCTGGCGAGGATGCAGAGAGACAGGAACACTCTTACACTGCTGGTGGAACTGCAAATTACTGCAACCTTTGTGGAAAAGAATTTGGAGATATCTCAAACATCTAGAAATAGGAGTACCATTCGACCCAGTAATAGCATTGTTGGGCATCTACCCAAAAGAGCATAAGTCACTCTATTATAAAGACATCTGCACCCGAATGTTTATGGCAGCACAATTCACTATTGCACGGTCATGGAAACAGCCCAAGTGCCCGTCAATTCATGAGTGGATAACCAAAATTTGGTATATGCTCACAATGGAATATCACTCAATTCTAAGAAACAACAGTGAGCTAGCACCGTTTATGCTATCCTGGATTAAGCTTAAGAAAGTTATACAAAGCGAGGCGACACGAGATCTGGAAAATGGGCTACGCGTCTACTCGCCATCAAATTGGTACTGACTGATTACATGTATGGTGCCCAAATAGTGGCAGTGTTCACCAGGGATTAGGGGTGTGGGGGAGACCCACATCTTAGGGATATGGCAAACATTGTGGGGGGGAAGGGATTACCTCTAACCCTTTTTAGGGAGAGGCAAAGATATTCAATGTAACCAAAATGTCAAAAAAAAACCCCAACTTTTATCAGGTGGTGGGCAGGTGGGAAGGGGGAAAGGGGAAGGGTGTATACTCACATAATGGGAGCAGTGCGCACCACCTGGGGGTTGGACACACTTGAAGCTCTGGCACAGCGGGGTAGGGGAGTGGTGGAAGGGGCAATACATGTAACCCTAACAATATTTTTACCCCCATAATATGAGGAAATAAAAGGAAAAATTAAAAAAAAAAGAAAAAATAGATGAAGAACATACTTTGGAAATCAATTGTTATTTTTTCTCTTACCATTAATGAAAACCTTCCCCCTTTGTTCACTCCCTGCTATTATTCTGAAATCCATGATTTCAGCAGCCCAGAGGAGAGGCCTTTTGCTCATGGTGAGGCTCAGGCTTCACAGGGAGCAGAGGCCTCCCCTCCCCCACTCACCGAGGACCAGCAAGGACGCCCACAGCAGCATGGAGGCCTGCTCCAGGGCCCGGAGGAGGAGGAGTTCTTAGGAGACAGGCCAGGTCAGCCCAGATCGCCAGAGCAGGGCCTGTCCACAGCAGTGCCGGGCAGAGTTCAGTAAGTTGCTTCTCTGAATATCTCTGGTTGCATTAATGAAGTGAAAGGGGGAAGTAGAGGAATCTTTCTTAAAACACCCAATAGCATGTTGCCCAACATGAGAAAATTCAGAGGACAAAAATCAAAATTTAATGGAATTATTTCAGTACTGCTCTGATGTCCTGTGTGAATGGCTTCTCAAGGCTTTAGCTGTCATATTTTGGGGGCTCTCTAGCTTCTGTCTGTCAAGGAAATAACAGCTTATTCTCTCTGCTACCAGACACCAGGCAAGGCTGAAGTCCTGTTGAGGTTCACATAATCCAAGGATGTACCTGATTCACCCCAGAGATGGAGAACTTCTCATTCAATGCAGAAATGTCCTCCTCTGACCACTGACACCTCTGCTGGACCACCTCCAGCTGGGCATCTGTCTGCCTTATGAAACATCTCAATCACAAGACAACTCAAGTCTTGTCTGACATATATGAAAATATCCTCACTCATTTGTCTCAGGGGAAACCTCAACTTTTGATCTGAGTAGGAGGCAAACTGGTGAGTAATTATGGCTCCATCATGCTCTTCTTAACAGGTCATAGACCATATGATTTTCACTTAAGGTCCTAGAATCTAAAATGTGCCATAGGATTGTCTCGGCAAACATATATTGATTGATTGTATAACTGTACTTTAGGCATGGTGCTAGGAGCTAGGAGTAGAGTGGTAATCAAGACTCAATAAGCTTTCCATTTAGCGGAAAAGACAGAAAGTCAATAGGGAATTACATACAGAGTGAAAAGTGCCCTGATGATCCAGTAGGAGGGAAATCTGACCCAGTTCTGGGGAATCAGGAGAGGCTTCTAAGTGGCAGTAATGTCCAAGCTGAGGGGATATCATTAGAGATTAGCATGGACTAAGGCAGAAGGCAATCACCGTCACCATCATCATCACCCTATGATGTCGGTGAATAAATGACCCTTGACCTTCCTATGGGGGGAGGATAACAGATATAGGATGAATTATGAGCAGTTTGTCTTTTTCTAATATAACATTTTCCAATACATCCATAATAGTTTCTTTTTACAACTAGAGTTTGTATTGAACATCAACTATATTCCAGGCAATGTCCATGACATTAGAAGAATAAAATGCAACTCCTTTGAAGACTTAAAAATAAATCAAGGTGGTAAGGTCCACAGTAGACATAGGCTCGAGGCACCATAAGGACAGAGATGTGTCAAAGTGGCACCAAGGCCCTTTGTCTCCTCACCTTGTGACCTTGCTGTCATCTTTCAGCCACCCTCATTGTCCCATTGAGGAGTGAGGGTATAAAAATGTCATCCCAGATCCTGAGCTGTGGCATCCCACGAATCTGCATTCAAATTTTGGCTCCGCCCTCTTACTAGTTGTGTGACTATGATCAGACACTCTGCCTCGTTAGGCTTTAGCTTCACACTGGTAAAAAAAGAGATAAAAAGAATCCACATGAAGGGGATGTCGATATTAATGTACGTATAAATGCAATAATAATTTCAGAACTCTTGGCCCAGCACCCGGAACAGTGTAAACTCTCAACCAGTAATAAATATGATGAACTATTCTGTGATACTAGAAATCATAACTATAATGAACTGGAAAGCACTTTATAATTGATATCCTATTTATGACATACAAGATGTCAAAGCACAAAAATTTGTTTGCAACTACTGTGTAAAGGTTTAAATAGTTTAAGTAGGTCAACACCATTTTTGTTGTTGTTTTTAAGTCACTGACATAAATGCCTCTGTTATTGGTGCCAAAAGTCTGGTTGTACTACAAAACATCAGCCATGCATGGCATGTGTCACACTATGATTTATTAAGAAATTGCTTGACTAATCAGGGTCAACTTTTAGATTTTATATCAATGAAGGACAGAAATGTTTGTTTTTAGTGACAATGTAAGGAACTAAAAATTCTGAACTTTTTCTCTTATATATAAAGAAGTGTTTAAACTCTACATTTTAAAAGTTAAATCTTAATTTTTGAATAATTCTAGATTTAGAGAAAACTGCAAAGCTAGTACAGAAAGTTCCCATAGAGCCCTTGCCCACTTTCAGTTTCCCCTACTGTCTTCATCTGACATTATCGTGGTGTGTTTATCAAAACTAAGAAACCAAGATTGCTACATTACTATTGGCTTAACTCCAGGCTTTACCCAGATTTTACCAGTGTTTCCATTAATAGCCTTTTTCTTTTCCAGTACAACCTCCAAGATAGCACATTGCGTTCAGTTTTTTCTTCTCGGTCTCCTCTGAGAAACTCACAATTTCTCAGTCTTTCCTTGTTTTCCATGATCTTGATGGTTTTGGGGAGTACTGGTCAGGTATTTTGTAATGTTTTCCATTCTGAGTTTGTCTGACGTTTTACTCATGGGTTATGGGTTTTCAGAATGAATGCCACAGAGGTGGAGTGTCTTTCTCATCACATCGTATCAAGGGGTATGTGAGAGCAACCTGACTGTATCACTTATGATTTCAATTGGGATAACTTGGTTAAGGTAGTGTTTGCCAGGTTTCAACGTAAAGCTACTATTTGTCCCTTTCCATGCTCTTGTTTGGAAGCAGGTCCAGCCCACACCCAAGGGGATGGGGTGTTTGTGGAGACATGTCTCTTTTTTCTTACTTATTTATCTCTTTATTCAGTCATTCTTCAATCATTTATTTATATCACTATGGACTCATGTATATTTATTTTATACTTTGGGCAATAATACAATGCTAGTTTATTTATTTTCCTGCTCAAATTATTCCAGCTTTGGTCATTGGAAGCTTTTGCAGTTTAGCTGGTCTGTCCCTTTGACGTGCCCTCATTCTTTTGTTCTTTGGAGTACTTCCCTATTCTGGTACTACCGGGTGCTCCAGGCTCACCTTGTACCTTTTTTTTCGCCAACTCTAGAATTGGCCATTTTTCCAAGAAGCCCCAGTTCCCTTCAGTGGAGAATAATATTTAGAAAACAAAATCTGGGTGCTGAGTAAATTCTTTTCTATAATTTTCTACGGAAAATTATATCTTTAAAATAACTGACAGAGAGTCTGTGGTTTTGACAATGCTTTATGGGTGGAAGAATACTACAAAGATAAATTTGTTCTTGTTATTATAATAGCCTCTACTACAAAAACAGTGGAGATATATATATATAATGGTTTCTATAGCCATTTTTCAGTGATAGAGGAAAAATCTCTTGTAATAATTAACTTTGAACTTCAAAAAAAAAAAAAAAGGCAATGAGTAAGATCAATTAGGCTTCCTGTGCAGGCTAGTGCTATCTGGAAGTCTTATTTCATTTTCCCTGCCTACAGTTAAAAATATTTCTAACCTGCAGTGGTAAACTATGATCGTTTTTGGTTTTAGAGACTTTTCTGGGATGGTTTCTTGTTCTAAGTTGAGACTCTTCCACTTTGCAAACATACAGATCTTTTTGCTCAAAAACTGAGCCAAAATGAGAGAATCACAGATTGTGAGTACGCTCTCTTCCGGACTCACACTGGTGCAGCTGGGGTGTGGAATGCAGGGAGCACAGGCTCTTACTCCTTGTAAGGTTCACTGAAAAATCACTGACACCGGACAGATTGATTAATAGGAGGAAGAAGATGCAAATTTATTTACTTAACGTGTACACAGGGGAAACCTCATAATGAAGTAAAGATGTTTGTAAAGAATGGGGGCTTCAAAGCAGAAAAACAGGTTTTGAGAGGGAGAAAGGAAGAGGCTTGACTAGCTAGCAAAGGTGGCCTTCTTATATCATTGAAACCCTACTGGCAGCAGCCCTCAGAAGCAATAGATGGTACGTGTTTTTTATCAAACCTTTAAAGGTGTCAGGCTCTTGGTTAATATTTTTCTAAATCAGGAAAGGAATGACTTGGCTGCATTCTTTACAGATAGAAATTTCCTTTCACAAAAGATAGCTTCGCAGTGTTACTTCTACCTGTGAGACTCATGGCAGCCATCTCAAAATATGTCAAAGAAATATATTTTGGGGTAAAATATTTCTAATTTCTTTCATTCTTCATTTGGAAACTAATGTTTCACATATCAGAAGCCAAGCTGACTGCTTTAGAGAAATTTGGGTTAGAGGTTGTTAGAGATAGATAAAGGAGTGAATTTAAAAAAAAAAAAAAAAAAAAAAAAAACAGAAACAAATTGAGATAAATAGAAAAAGGGCAAATTGAAACATACCATTCCCTATCTTCTTTAGTCAGCCTCTTAGTCTTGTGACTAGATCAGTTCAGTTGAACAGCTGTGTCCCGTTCCAGGAGCTGGCATTGCAGATGAACTTTCAAATAGAAGGAAAGCAAATATTAATATTTGGAATGGTTCATAAACAAGTTTCCTTAGAATCTGTAGGGCATCTAGCTGAACTGTTTAGATCTTAAACTTGAAGCATCTTCACTTAAAGTGGAAGCAGGCAGTGGCAAGCTCACAGATTTTTCTTGCTGGAGTTTGTATGTTGCAAGGTATGTTTGCAGGGCCTCAGGAGAAAGCAGCGGCAATTTCATTGAGTCCAAGTTAGAAAAATGGAAGAAAAATTTGAAAACATTATTTGGAGAGTTGTAGCCAGAAAAGAGTTTAGGATTTTGTTCAAAGTGCAGGCAATATAAAACTTAAAAACAATGGACAAGGCTAGAATCTAATAACGGGTTTAGTATTAAATATAATTTCTTATGAAGGATTTATTTCCAGTTTCCTGTTTCTACTAAAGAAAAATCATGGTAGGACCAACTTATTTGCAAAATAAATTTTAGTCTCATTATACTTGGCCTGATTATTTGCATAAAGTGTAACAAGTATAGCTATTGGCTGTATAAACATTTTTTCTAAATTGGCTTTGCTGGAACTTTTTCATAAGGAATCTCAGGTTAGTCTTAAAAGCGTCTCAAGTCAAGCTAAGGATTTATCTGTGCCTGTAGACACCTGAATTAGGTACATTCCTCTTTTCTCGACGTCCCATAGTAACTTGGGGTTTCTGGACCTCTCAGAAAGTAAGGTTTTTCACTTACCACCTATCAGGAAATTTTACAAATGAGGCCAGTTTTTCCAGAGGGCTATTTGTTGGCCTTATAAAGTCAGCCTAATTTCTCAAGGTAGCCTGGGCACATCTGAAAATATACCATTCCAATCAAAGCTTTGGTAAAATAACCAGCATCAGTAATTCTATCCTGTTGTAAAAGAAAATAAATTCTTATTGAACGTATGCAAATAATTATATTGCCATAAAATAAGACTACTTACAAATCGTTTCCAAATTTTGGAGAAATCAACTAGAGAGAAAAATAAATGCTTCAAATTGCTCAGAAAAATATACTTTACCAATTTGTTGTAAGCT